GAAAGAAAGAAAGAAAGAAAGAAAGAAAGAAAGAAAGAAAGAAAGAAAGAAAGAAAAACATATTTGGTAGTCAAAAATATCATTTTCTTTGATTTGTTACTTACTTCAGTAATGTGATTGGGTGATTTCATCCCACGGACCCTACCTATATATGAAAAACTGAAAAATATCTAAGTGTTATATAAAGTGATAACAGGTAAATGTAACCCATTTGTCTAATATCATGGGGCTCATTGTCCATGGGTTTTCTTGATGGGATATGCCAAACTCAATAAAAATAAAGATCACAAAAACTATTTACCAAGCTTTAAATAGTTATAGTCTTAGTATAATTTAAAAAATGTTAAACTAGATATTTGTTATAATTACAACTTAGTAAAAAATACAAATGAGAGGCAAGAGAGGGAACACAAAATTTTTATATAGTGCTATAAAAGAGAATTTAGGCAATATCACAGTTTTAAATATTTGCTTTGTTTTCCAAATTTTGTATAATAAAGCTACATGATAATCATAAAGAAAAGATAGATGAAGGGATGGGAAGGTGAACAAACTTCAATTCAATAATAAAATACATATTTATTATAGCTACTTGATTTTAAGCCAATGATTCCAAAGCATCATCTGGCATCAGTAGTCACACTACGTGGAAATCGATTCCTCTCATTTCCTTATGGAAAACTAGTTAGAACTGATGTCTAAAATGTAATTTCATAGTACTGAAAGGTATTAAATGGCACATACTAATTTATATTGGAAGCAAACTTTCTTAACTGCTGTTAATCTGTCCTTTTCAATACTTCAGTTTTTGTTCTACTTAAACAACCCCATCACTCTGAAACGATGGCACATCTTCAAGTTCGTGCACTCTGAAGGGCTTCAGAGCACACCAGCAGCAGCAGCAGCACCAACTCCAGAGGCAGAGCCAGCTGTCACAGAAATCCTGGAGAAGCTAAACCAGCAGATCCCACCCAGGCCCTTCCCTCACCGCAGCATCACCACCAGCGCCACACACAGCACAGCCACCATCCTCAACCCTCGAGACACGCACTGCATAGGGGACCAGCTGGACGTCCTGCTGGTGGCCAAGGACTATTTTGGAAGCATGAAAAAGTATGGTGGGGACTTCCTGAGGGCCAGGATGTCCTCCCCAGCCCTGAAGGCAGGTGCTTCAGGAAAGGTGACAGACTTCAACAATGGCACCTACCTCATCAGCTTCACTCTGTTCTGGGAGGGCCCGGTCTCCCTGTCTGTCCTTCTCATACACCCCAGTGAAGGGGTGTCAGCTCTCTGGAGAGCAAGGAACCAAGGCTATGATAGAGTTACCTTCACTGGCCAGTTTCTTAATGGCACCTCCCCCATCTCCACGAAATGTGGCCTTATCTTAAACACCAGCGCTGAGCTGTGTCAATACCTGGATGCTCGGGATCACGAAGCCTTCTACTGCTTGAAGCCTCCAGGTGTTCCCTGTGAGGCCCTGACCCACATGAAAACCATGAATAGTAACATCTCCTACCTCAGCCTTAAGGAAAAGTTCCTTTTCAAGAGGTAAACATGGCTTCAAATTCTGTAAGGGATACAGGAAGGTAGACTTCAGCTCTGACCAAACTGTTGAATACATTAACATTGACTAATCAAACTGTCACATCGGTGTTTATTGAGTTATAATAGGACCATCCTCCAGAAGTAGCTTAGCTGGCATTCTGGGTTACCACTAGGACTGTTTGCCTGAAAGGAGTACAGTGGTGGTGTGCCTTACACAGTGTCTATGTCTTGTTTTCCATGGTGCATGGTGATTCCGGATTCAGTCATTCTTTTTTTATGAGCCAGTACTGCCTATAATGTATTCATGAAACACTGTCCCACATAACTATTAATTAAATGAGTAGTATCATTACTCATTTTACTCTACTCTTTAATCCAACCAATCATCAAGTCCTATAAATTGTACCTGTGAGCTGTTTCCTGAACTCATTCATTTCTGTCTTTCACTGTTGCCTCTCTCTTGGATGCACTATCATCCGACTTCATTTAAACTGTGTCAATGACCTCACAGGGGATGCTCTCTATCTTCTCACGCAGTTTCTCTTGATCTTTGCTCCACACTAGAGCTTATATTTCTAAAATGCACACATATTAATACATATGAACTTTTCCTTGCTTAAAACCATTACTATGACCAGGCAGTTCTGATGGTGAGATTCAGACTCTAACCTGTTTACAGGTCTCTTATTTCACTTTCACTGTGTATTCTTCTCTGTCAGTCAAGCTGAACACTTATTTCACAAGTTGTATTTCCAAGCTTTTGGGTTAGCTGTCATCTCTAGGAAATGTTCAATGTCACTGGGAGATGGGCTAGTCCTGTGTTCCAATTGCTTGGTGTTCTTTCCCAACATGACATTATACTGTTAATGTCCTTACAAGCAAGAATTTCAAGAATATGGTTCCATGTTCTACCATCCATTCATTCAATCAATCTATATATACAATCTATATATGGCACTTTCTATATCCCACACAGAGTTCTAGGTCATTCTCATGAGCTAGAAAGACAAGGAACAAGTAAGTGAATCTGTAGCAGGAAACCATTAAAAATGGAATAAAATGTGACATTGACTTTAAAATAATAATCGGGTAAGACACTACTCCCCCAATGTCTTCATGATCATGTTTCCCCTTCAGCCCCTTCCTCACCTTCACTTCTTGTTTTTATCATCAAGGTCTAGGGAAAAACATCTCTTTATCTTATTATTTTGGCTGAACAGGTTTATCTTTTCCAAATAAAAATTTTACTAATAAGCAATAAAATAAGGCCTGTCTAGAGCAGCATCCCAAATGAGGTAAAGGGGCAAGCCATGGGAACATGTGGGGGAAATACTATTCTCAAGAGAAGGAGGAGGGTCTGGGCCAAGAGCATGCTGGGGGCTTCAGGGATTGTTATGGCAAGCAAAGCCTCAGAAGTCATCTGAGGGGCAAGGGGCAAGGGGCCACCAACAACACAGGCTTAGTTCAGTGACACTAAGTTGGCCTTAGTAGCTATGCTGAGTGAATGGTAAGTGAAATGAAACCTGATTTTTTTTTTAACAGCACAACTTCTCAGAAACTTTAATGTGTGTTCCTTAAACCGGGGTAGAATGTTCCCAGGTGGAATTGATGACTCATTTTACGAGCCTTCAGTTCCATAGCCTGGGAACTTCTGCTCTTGGAAGGACTTATTTTAATGATGTGTCCAGGAGAGCTACTGGATAGAAAAGCACCCTGGAAATTCAAGTTCAAATCCAGTTCAAACACGAAGACATAGGAGAGTGGGGCACAACTGACTCTCCCTCTCTACCAGGCTCCCCTTCTCCCCTTCTCTCACTATCACTTGGTTTCTCTCCAAAAACGCATGAGGAGATCTAAAGCTTTGCCTTACGGGTCAGCTAAAAGAGTCTGGCTCTTTCAAATATTTATTTTTAATTTGAAAATGAGGATAATGGGGCTGGAGAGATGGCTCAGTGGTTATGAGCTCTTAATGCTCTTCAGGAGACCTGGGTTCAATTCTCAGTACCCACATGGTGGCTCACAATCATCTAGAACTCTCCAGGAGATTAAATGATGTATTTTGTTTTGGCTTCGATGGGCACAGATATACATACATGTAGGATAAAACACCCATACACAAAAAAAGAAATAAAAATTAAAGTTACAAACAAATATGAAAGATATAAAAAGAGATAGTTTGTCTTGACTACCTCAGAACCATGTCTTTATTCTCAGAGGAGTCATTTGTGTGTATTTCTCATTGACCACATCTCAGCCTCTCTTAACTACATTAAGCCTGGATTAGAAGACCCATCCTGACATAGTCTCCCGGTTATGTCTCAGGAAATCCAAAGTCACCAAGTGGCTAGCAGAGCTATATGAAGTATTACAGGCATTTAAAAATGTATTGCATGCAATTATACACACAATTATAAAAAAGACACATTAACATAAATACATTTACACAAGCCATACATACTTTAACCTTAAGTTTGGGACAGTCTCAAATTTGGCCTTTGGAACCAAATTGGGAAGTGGCCAGATATTGATTGTTTACTATATTCAGCCTTACCTGGGTTAGATGGGGAGAATAAATGCTAGACTGTAATACACATTGTTCTCACTTGGCCAGAAAGTCCCCTTCTTGGGATTCTCAATCCTCTTTCACTGTTGGAAAACATTCCCTTTGTCTTTCTAAAATATCTTTCTAAGTTTCTGCAGAGCTTCTTCTGCAATTTCTACCTCCCTCAGCTCTGACTCTGGAGAATCCTATCTTCTTCCAGCTAGACTTCATTCTTGATCAAATAAATAAGTTTGCTTTAATAAGAGACAGCTGCCAGTTGGGTTTTTAGAAATGACAGCTGGAGTTGGTGCTTATGAGGCTAGTCATTAAGAATATTATAGCAAGTAAGAGTGACCTCATTCATTCACTCGAGAAGATGTTTGACTATGGAAAGCAGACTCCCAGGGTATTTGGGAAAGCAAAAAGGGGTATGAGGATGAAGCTGGAGAGGTGGACATGAATAGGAGGTAATATGTGGTCTGGTATTTATTCTTTAGGAAATTGAGGAAAAGTCATATAAAGGTTCTCTATAGGATAATGGAATAGGTTGGGTTCAACCAAAGGCCCAGAAAGATAACACAATAACCTAGGTGAGTGCTGTCAAAGTAATAAATGTAATGAATGAATATAATGAATGTCCTTGTAGCTTCACCCCAAAAGTGAAAAAACCAAGTTCTTGAACTTGACAATGGAACAACTGAATCAGAAATTCTGGAAGTAAGGCTCTTTTATTGGAAAAACACTGCCAGAAAAAAACTTGGTGAGTCCTGAATTACTACAGGTGGCAAAGGTAAAAAGGAGAGCTGGCATGAGACAATCATGCAGGAGAGGCCAACCCTGGGATATTATTGCCATGACCTTGTCATCTACAAAAATGTTGGGTCACTTCTCTACCTTCGGATTCATGAAGCATCAGGTTGGACATGCCCGAGAGTGAACATTAAAGGATGAGTAGCTAGCTGGATCCACAGATAGATTTTGGCTGATTGCAAATAGAGGATAAGTGACACTCTGGATTCCCACACCATCAGTTAGGAAAACGATTTTCTAAAATGTTGACCCATTTACCTTATCAGAATTCCTTAAGTGTATCAACAACAACAACCATTCACAGAAAATTAAGAGTGTTTCAATCCATCTAAACCAGAGACTCATTCTTAAAGACTTAAACAGATGTTGGGATAACTTATTTTCCTATTTCTTGAAGGTTCAACATAGGGGTTGAAGTGCTGAAGAATTTGGCCATCACAGTCTTGCCATGTAACAGTAAGTCCAGTGTGCTCTTACCACTCTATTCACAACTTGTTAATATAAACAACTGCCTTACTTTGAAACATATTTATTCTATCTTAAACATTTTGAGCTCTCATTTTCTGGGACAACTGAGATACCCTGGGTCTTAAAGAGGAGATTTTATGTTTTAGGAATATTTTTAAATGGCTTTATTTTATTTTATGCATGTTTTGCTTGCATAAACATGTGTATACCATATATATGCAATGCCAGAGAGATCAGAAGAGAGCATCAGATCCCTTGGAACTAGAAGATTGTTGTGAGCTATCATGTGATTGCTGGAATTGAACCCTGGTCTTCTGCAAGAGAAACCATAACTACTCAGAACTTATTTTCATAGCAGTTTTCATCCTGAGCAAGATAATAAAAATCTAGGGAATTATAGCTGCCCCTACTCAAAATGTTCAGATTCTAGGTATTTACACTTGAGGGTTGTTCTCCAAAATCAACAGTTGGGTGCTGGTACTATGCTAAAATATCTCCAAAGAGCTGGAAAAAAAACTGGACAGCTTCTCCACTGCATTCTAGTTTCCCTTTCAGGCAAACCATGCTCCTTAAGAGTCTATGAACTAGCAATTTCTGTGACTCACCTTTTTTAACAAACACATGGTCTGTAGCAGCTAGTGCAAAGGTAGCTTGTTTATATAGTGTTTCTGTTGACATGGTATTCAAGGGAATTTCAGTAAAGCTAATGACTTCTCTATGAGTCAACAGATACACATTGATCCATTACCCTCTTTTTTTCATGCATTCAACTTACAGTATAGAAATACTTATGCTAAACCCAGTGGCGAACACAGACAGAAATAAACCATGGGTCCAGACCTGCAGCTTACGGTCTGTGAGAGAGACAGAACCTTCTCTACTCAGGCAACCACTGGCCATGACCAATTTTTATACAAAAGAAAGTTCTTCAACTCTTGAGGCAACTCCAGTTGTCATTACAGATGAGATCACATCTCAGCTTTTGCCTAGATAGTGATTTCTATTAAAGTCAGAAGTTTTTCACAGGACAATGGCAGGGTGTTGTTGCTGTTCTCATCATCATTGTAGTAAAAATTATTAGTCACTAACAGATCTAATATATGTAATTCAATATGAATAAACCTAAGTCCCTAAATGCATTCCCTTAACTCCAAAGATGAATGTAGATGAGGAAAATGTGGTTTTTAAGGTAATAAATACAATGCTGCCCACTCTAGTTTCTGCTGCTGCTGGGACAAACACCATGATCAAAAGCAACTTGGGGGAGGAAGGTTTATTTGGGTTATACTTCTAGGTTCCAGTCCATCACTAAGGGGAGCCTGGGTAGGAATTTAAGTGGGAACCTGGAATCGGGCTGGCGTAATATTCCACAAAGAATTACCTCCAACCAAAAAAACTCATTTCTCAGCCAAAGAGGTACAATGGGAGCTATGGAGAGACTTGCTTGCTAGCTTGCTTACAGGCTCCTTCTCAGCTGGCCTTTCTTATACAACCCAGGGTCGTATTTCCAAGGAATGGTGCCACCCAATGTGGGCCGGTTCCTGCACATCACTTAATAACCAAGGCACTTCTACACAGGTCTGCCCCCAGGCCAAGAGCTGCTCCTCAGTTGCAACTCCCCTTCTCAGGTGATTTGACTCTGTGTCAGGCTGGCCATTAAAGCTAATGTATACCTTTCTGATGAAGCAGTCAGTATGAGTTGATGAAGACAGTCTGAGCTATATCAATAGTGGAGTCTTCAGAACGAGGAGACCATGGTCCTATTGTTTTCCTTCCAAAGGCAGACCACGGTGAGGGCATTATGTTTGGTTTTAAACACAGTAACATATTTAAAGTGTTATTATTCTTAACCAGGGAGCATAATTTGGGCACAAACAGTGTAGGACTCTCATTTCTCAGGCATGTTTAAACTCTTTCATGAGTTAACAGCTTGAGAATAAGGACAGTTGAAATAGTCGTCTGGGCCACTGAGCCCTATCTATAATTTCTTCCTGACTTTGGTTAGCTGTCTCATCCCTGAGTGGCTCTGGGGACAAGGTAGATCCTGGGAAAACACTGCAAAGGCTCGAGAGAAAACACAGCCCTGTTCCAAGAAGAGCTGCCCAGTGAGAACCTTTTACTCATCCCCTGAACATGAGTTCATTAAATAAGTATTTGTAGAAGAAACGAAGGCAGGCATAAAGAAGAAAACAAGGATGGAAGAAGAAGAGGGAGAAGAGGATGAGGGGAGTAGTTTAACTATTTAAATATTTCGTGATAATAAAAATTACTGACTCTGGGATTTGTATTTTATTTTATTTTGTTGCTAGAGACTGAGAACAAGAAAGAGAAATGTCAGGTTGGAATGAAGACTCCCTTCCCCAGTGGCTATACTTTGAAAGGAACGTGGATTACAACATTTTGCAAACAGAACGAGTTCAGTGCCATGGAAGATATAAATAACTGCTTGAAAAGAAAACTAATTTACCTCATGGGTGATTCAACACTGCGCCAATGGTTTTACTACTTAAACAAAGTTGTTAAAAGTATGTTTTATTCCTAGTTTTAAATTATAGTCAAGTGTTGAAGAGTTTTAAATAATGATGATAATAATAATTAGAATTCTTTGCTCTCATCTGATCTTTATTTTATCACTACATTCAATGTGCCAAACTTTTAGCTCTAAGCTGTTTTTATTTTTTCTAAATTGTTTATTGAATATTTTTTTCTTTATGTGCATGGATGCTTTGTCTGCATATAGATAGTCTGCATGCAATACCCAGGGAGGCCAGAAGAGATCCCAGATCTCTTAAACTGGAGTTTGATCACAAACTAGTTGTTTGATCACAGACAATAGCTCCATCTTTTTAATTCATGTATTTTGATACAAGTTTCAAAACTTTGTAAAGATTCTAAGGCAGTTGATAAAAATTCAATGCCTTCTAAAAATAGCAGTTCTTTAGTTAGAAGTCATCATGGCCAGAGTTTTATAGATTGTGTGCATTTTTAAAAAAAAAATATGCTATTTCTTTTTGTTAAGAGATTTCTTGATTTGTTTCCTATCAGCCCTAAAATTTTTTGATCATCATGGAACTGGGGTCTTTAAAACTCATATCCTTCTGGACACTGAAAGACATGTTTTGGTTCAATGGAAAAAACACAGCCATCCTTTCGTTACTAAAAATCTGTACTCCGTGAAAGATGACAACTACATCCCACGAGAAATTGACCAGGTGGCAGGAGACAGTGATACAGCCATTGTCATTAGTTTTGGCCAACACTTCAGACCTTTTCCCATCAATATATTCATCCGTAGGGTCATCAACGTCAAAAAGGCCATAGAGCGACTCTTCTTACGAAGCCCGGAGACCAAGGTGATAATTAAAACAGAAAATATCAGAGAATTCAATGAAAACTCAGAGAGCTTCAGTGACTTCCACGGAAGCATTCAGAATCATATTTTAAGGGACATTTTGGGGGATCTCAGTGTGGGTATTATTGATGCTTGGGACATGACAATTGCATATCGCAGTGAGGCTATCCATCCATCTTCCAGCGTGATTGAAAGTCAGGTTGGTATGTTCTTAAACTACATTTGCTAGAGGATCTTAAGGTACAGAAACACATCTAGCCCTCCCTGCCCTTGCTCGCTCCAATTTTATATGTACTTACATAGATAACACAATCTAACATAAGAAGAAGAAAATATTGAAAATTATAGTTAACTATACATAACATAAAATTCTCCATTCAAATAATTTTTAATCCTACAATCCAGTGGTGCTAAGTGAAGTTCCATGTCACATCTTCATCATTATAATCCATTTCTTCATCCCTAATAGAAATCAAACCTCTTAAACACCCACTCACCACTCCTCTGAGCCATAGACCCTGGCATCTACAGCTATACTTCATGTGTCAATAAACTGTTTTAGACTTTTCATATAAATGAAATAATGAAAGCCACTGAATTTGTGTCTTGCTTATTTCACTTAACACGATTTCTTTAAGGTTCACCTATGTCAAATTTATGAGACTCCTTTTTAAAGAGTGAATATAATTTCTTTCTATGCATGTAGTGAATTTGTTCTTCTGTTTATTTGTTGATGAACATTTATTTTTGTTTTTGTTTTTTTGCCTTTTGGTTATTGTGTATCCCAACACTGTGAAGAGGGATGCACATGTAAAGGCTTGTTTCTACTTTTAAGCTTGATGTTTAAATAGCAAATCATAATTATCCATTTCTTATTTTTAAAGATGTTTTTTTATTATTTATGTGTATGTGTAAGTGGGTCTGCTAGTGAATGTCGGGTGTGTTTGAGGATACCTGCAGAGCCGGAGGAGGAGCTCTTCAGATCTTCTGGAGCTGGAATTATGGGTGGTTGTGATTTACCCCACGTGGGTGCTGGGAACTGAACTCTGGTCCTGTGGAAGAGTGGCAAGTGCTTTTCAACCATTAAGCAATCCCTCCACCCACCATTATCCTTTAAAGGAATGTGCAGCCCAGAAACACATAGCATAAATGATCTGCTCAGAGAAAAAGATAATGCTTAGAAGAAAACTTTACAAGATCACAATAACAGTCCTCTTTCTTAGAAAAAATTCTTAAGATTTGATGACAATTTGTTGCTTAGATTCCACTGTGATTCAGTGGCCACAGGTCAAAGCCTACAAACACCACAACTTAGTATGATGTGACTATATAGACTTCAAGATTCTGATACTAGATAAAACAAGAAGTGTAATATAGGAGTCCCTCCAGCAACCTCAGATAACTTCATAAGCTTTGTTCTAGAGTCTTTCTCTTGATAAAAACATAATAATCTACTTCTCAAGACTTGGTATATATATATATAATCAAGGATAATTCCCAAGTATGGATTGTGTTTGTGAGTGAAAGGAAGTAAAATTATAATGTTATTAACACAATGGCCAAGTTATTAACACAGCTTTGGACTAGACTCTAAACCACCCACAATAAAAATATAAAAATTAAAAATTTAAAGATTTATTTTATATATATAATCAATTTATATTTAATTTATATTTATATTTAATTTATATAATTTAATTTTATAGTTATTTTATATTTAATTTAATTTTATATTTAATGTGTGTGTGTGAAGTGGCAGGTGGGCATGGGTGTGTACATATGAATGCAAATGCCATGGAGGCCAGAAGAGGGTGTTAGATCCCCTGGAGCTGGAATTACAGGTAGGTGTGAGCAGCCTGATATAAATGCTAGCACTCAGGCCCTCCAGGTCCTCTCCTCTCTCTCCCTCCCCTCCCCTCCCTTTTACCCTTCCCTCCCCTCTGCCTCTGCCCTCTCTTCCCTTCCCCTCCTCTTCCTTTCCTTCCTTTTCGTGTGTGTGTGTGTGTGTGTGTGTGTGTTTGTGTGTGTGTGTGTGTGTGCACAAGCATGTGTGTGTGTCAAAGGGCAACCTCGGGTGTTCGTCAGGTGTCTTCCGTATTTTGTTTGCTATATGGTTGAGCTTTCAGTCTGTGTCTTACTGTCTCATAATTACTGGAATTGTAAGAATGTACCACGATGCCATTAGAACAAAGGGGCTCTGGGAAGTCTAACTTAGGTCCTCGTGGTTGCACTTTATTAACTAAGCCTACTCCCAACCCTCAAAATCTCCTCTTGGATTGAGCCCCTCATTGATTCTCATTCTCCCCACAGGGAGCTTCGGTATGACCCTCATAGCTTCCAAACATTACACCACTGATTGCTTAATGAGTTTTCATTTCCACATCAAGGTCTTCTCAAATTCCTTCATCAGAATATTGATGTGATATGACTTCTAGTCTCCTTACCCTGTCTCTTCAAATGCTCTGGAATATCCTTGAATCATCGGCAACAGGCCTTCTGCAGACCCCATTTCTCACTCTACCAACCTGCATGCTCTAATTTAAGTTAGACCAGAATGACTACTACTTTTCTTCCTCCAGAGTTGTGCTGTAACACATGATAGACATGGTCATGTGTCTTTGTTAAAATTAAAACTCAATTCAATCGTTCTTCAGGTGCACTGGCCACATTCCCAGGGGTCAGTTGCCACAGATATCAAGGGGTCCTGTACCACAGCAGCATTTGCTGGGATTTTCCTTTAGACAGTGTTTTTCATGTTTTGTTAGAATATGTGGGTGGCTTTTCAAAAACAAATCTAGTGTGACCTGGGAAATGGCTTAATTGGGAGGTTGCTTGGCCAGCAGGCCTGAGGTCCTGGTGTAATAACAAGCACATAAGCTGGCCATAAGGTGGCACATGCATGTAATCCCAGCATTCAGAAGCTTGAAGCAGAAGGGTCAGGAGTTCAAGGTCATCCTTGGGTACATAGCAAGTTTGAGACCAGCCTGGGCTATAAGAGACCCTGTATCAACCAATCAATCTATCAACCAAATAATCAATCAGTTCATCAATCTATCAACTAATCAACCAGTCAATCAGTCAATCAATTAATGTAGTAATAGTTTACATTTTTCATGATAAATAAAAAAAAATCTATCAGATGTTGGTGGGAAACCTCTTAAAAGGCATTTACTTCTTATTTATTCTTTTACAAGAAATCCTGTGATCTAAATACCTCATGGTGTTCTATTCTTGAAGTGATAGCTTTAGGTTACAGTAGGCATTGACTATGCTGTTAATATACAATAACTCGAACAACCATTTGAATTCATAGAAATAGTCTTTACTGTTATTATCAAGCCTTTTTTGAAAACCCATTTCTGCACAATGGAGTGAAACGAAACTAGAAATCAACAGCAGAAGGAAAACATATCCTATGACATGCTGAAGTTAAACAGAGCACTCCTAAACAGCCAATGGCTCAAGAAGGAAAACACAAGGGAAGTTTAAAACCTTCCGGAGACAAATGAAGATGAAGCCACAGCATGTCAAAGTGTATGGAGCAGAATGAAAGAGTGTAAAAGGGAGGCTGTAGCAGGAGACGTGACAGGCAAGTATCTGACTTCACAACCTAGAGAAGTAGACAAAGAACAAACTAAGCCTGAGTCGGCAGAAGGAAGGGAAAACAAGTTAGGACAGAGAGCAATGAGATACTATAAAATAAAAACAATAGAAAACTCAAAAATTAAGTTGCTTTTGTTAAAAACGTAAAACAACAACAAAAACTTTTTAAATGAGAGCGAGGGAAAGAGAGAAAGAGGAGAGAGAACACTAAAATTAGAAATGGGAAAGAGCACTGGCTGCTCTTGCAGAGGACACAGGTGTGATTCGAAGCACCCATATGACGGCTCACAACCATCTGCAACTCCAGATGAAGGTATCCGGAGCCCTCTTCTGGCGTTTGTAGGCATCAGGTACATCAATGATGCACGTATACACACACATACACACACACATACACACACACACATACTACTCATACACAAAAAATAAAATCTTTTAAAATAATTGTTTAAAATTATTTCTGTACTAGTAAATTCCATAACTGAGAAAACCGAGAAGTTTTCGAAAATATACAACCTGTTATGGTTAAATCACAAATAAATAGAAAATTCCAATACGTATTTGTAACTGGAAAGACAGACTTCCCAATAAACCAAAAATTAGGATCGGCTGGTTCCACAGGAAATACCACCAAGCACCGAAAACTGAACACCAATCCTTCTCAGATTCTTCCAAAGAGCAGGAGGAAACACTCCCAAACTCACACGAGGAGGCCAGCTTTACTCAGAAACAATGCCAAACAGTACTACACAGGAGAAGGAAACCAGGAGCCATTTCCATGATACACACATATTAAAATGTTTTCAAGTGTTTCCTGGCAAACCAAATTCAGCAACACATTAAAAGGATTGCAAACTCTACGCAGGAGAGGCGGTGGCGGGGGGATTATGCTTGGGTAGGAAGATGATTCAACATATGAAAACCAGCAGTGTGGGGCACCATGGTCACCTAACAGAGGCCAAGGCGACATGGTGCATTTCAACTGATGGGGGAGCAAGCATCGACTCCTTTGTATGAAGAACACTCCCGCTCTGAATAGGAGAAAGCTACCTGAAGGGGACATGATTAAAAATGTCACAGCAAACATCATGTTCAGTTGGGAACAGCTCAGAGCTTGTGCTCTAAAACCTGTAAGAAGGTAAAACTTGTCCAGTTTCACAGACACTATCAGATTAGCAGCCATTAGGGGGAAATGAAGATCCCTTAAAAATTAAAAACTTCCTTATGACCTAGCAATTTTACTCTTCACTTCTATTCAGAAGAATTCAAGATCTCAAAGAGGTACAATAGGGATGGGAAACTTACCTTTCCATGGTACTGACTGCGCAGGTGTTAAGCCCTGTTAAGAGTATTGTTAGTGTGGATGGTAAATTATTTATGTCCTTATTGCAAGCTCTGTCACTGATGTTAATTTTCCTGTAATAACAAGAACATTAGAGGATGGACAATTAGACAATCCTTTCTTGTCTTTGGTGCCTTGAGCAAATGAATTTTCAGTCAAATAGTGGGACTACAATCATGACACCACCAGATACCTGAAAAACTTGAGAAAAGTACCTAACAATCAGAGCTGTTTGCCTCAGCTCCTGAAAACAAAACCTTGTCCAAGGCTGTTAGAAACTGCTC